AGTAGTAGTAGTAGTAGCAGTAGCAATAGTAGCAGTGGCAGCAGTAGCAGTAGCAGTAGCAGTAGCAGTAGCAGTAGCAGTAGCAGTAGCAGTAGCAGTAGCAGTAGCAGTAGCAGTAGCAGTAGCAGTAACAGCAGTAATAGTCGTCGTGGTGGTAGTCGCATGTGTAGTAGCAGCGGCAGTGGCAGTGGCAGCTGTAGTAGGTGGGGATGACAAATATGGCAGCCTCAAGCAGTACGTTGTTCTGCTGCAATTCTGCTTGCGGCTTGAGAGCGGGATGATGATGAAGAAGAAGAAGAAGATGATGATGATGATTCCTTCCGTGCTTTTCAACTTCTCAGGTTTAGAGGGTCGGTTATCCCGCATACTGCTGCATAACTGCTTCGCCTGGTCCCTGTTTGCCCAGCGGTTCAAGCCACAGGTAGTTGGTAGACGGGGGGTGGGCGATGGCTCGTCGTCGCCGAAGTAGTAGTAGTAGTAGTAGTAGTAGCAGCAGGAGTAGTAGTAGTAGTAGTAGTAGTAGTAGTAGTAAGCATTTGAGGAGTAGTAGGAGCAGGACCAGTTGTTGTTGTTGTTGCGGAGGTGGCTGCGCTGGTGCTTTCGGGTCGTCGTCGGTTTGGCTCTGTGTCGTAGCCATCGTTATGGTAGGCAGGAATAGCATCACCCGTGATCAGAAGAGGGACGAACCGCGGGAGAAGCCGACGGAGAAGGAGGTAGAGGTGCAATGTAATTCGTGCTGGTGATAGTCATGCTGGGCCCGATTGCCAGGCTCACTATTGGGGCGCTTTGTGGTGCAGAACTGGCAAAGAACTTGCTTCTTTCTCTGTTTGAACCCTCTTTGCTCACTTGGGAAATCACGAGCTGAACCTGTCTACATCGCGAATGTGGACATTGGCAGTGTTGCTTGTTGTTGCTTTTCCCGATCCTGCTGGTAATGACGACTAGATTAACTAGATGCTGATGACGGACACCTTCGATGCGAGCCATGTGCTACATGCACTTGGGGCCATCAGCTTCCGGTCAGCATTCCCGGGCTCGGCTGCACTGGACCGCGAATCCGCGAATCAGGGAGACGCGACAACCCTGAACATTTGAGGTCGATTGGATCACGTTTCTGAAGTTGGTGCGCTCCCCGGATGCCCGCTTGACACATGCAGTGCTCTGATTTTCCAGTCCGGCATCGCTGCGATTCGGTGGATGTGTGCTGTCCTGGGCACAACGAGATAAAGCAGGGTTCGATCATCCAGTGCTACGCACTATTGCCACACATAGCATCGAGAGCAATCCCCAGTGTTCCATCATGTTGTCTAGTTGGCAGCATGCGACAGGGCACCCGTGTGCACCAGTGCTTCGCAAGTCGCCAGACCACTAGGCCTGAACTGAAGCAAGGGGCTGAGCCAGTGCCACGGAAGCAGGAGGAGCCAACTGCGTCCTGACCCGGGAGATGTTCGAGCAAGAGCAGGAGAGGCAGGCAGGGAGGGGCAAAGACAAAGAGAGAGAGAGAGAGAGAGAGAGAGAGAGAGAGAGAAAGAGAGGGAGGTACAGGGGGAGAGACAGAGACAGCGACAGAGACAGTGTGGACAGATCGTTGCCGACACAGGACTGCAGGATCGGCTTGCTTTAATCTGGAGTCCGACATCGTACACCAAGTGCAGGATGGGTTTCATCAAGACTGAACGCAGGAACACCGGAACCGACAAGAGCAAGCATTTATCGTGAAAACTGGAAGACAAATGAAGGACTGATGTGGTACACGCAGAGAAGGTTCATGTGTCCATGGGTAGTCTACATCTGAATCTGGCGGCTTGGTCAAGTTTTTTTCCGGGAGGGAGTTCAAGCGGACGAGGGCCTAAGGCCAAGCTCATGAAACCTGGAAGCTTAGGGCCACTGACTGGTCTCCACAAGAACAGTAGAGAAGACAACTCCCATGCTTCCCCAGGCGACCTCGCTGGTCCTGCATGGAAAAGTCAGGTCCTGAAGTGCTGGGGGAAAAGTTCTCTCCGGTTGGAGCATTTGACTTGCTGCTTGCCCAACGGCACAGAAGGTTTTGACATGCTGCGAGTCTTGTTTAAATCTTCATGCAAAGAAGACCATGAAGCCCTGTGCGCTAGGTGTGCTCATTTCCGAGTCGCTCACAGCTTCGCTTTGATGCGCTCGTAAGCGAAGACACAGATCGTAAGCCTCCAAACTCAGTCTTGGTGGATTCAGGAAGTCTTGTTTAACCTCTCACCGTGTTCGGAATGGACCCACCCTCCGATTGCATGGCTAGCTTCATGTTTGCAGGAAGCATTTGCAGAAGCCCCCAAAACAACGGCCAGGACTCTAGCTCTGTCAAGGTGTGCACTGGAAAGAACCAATGTTGCTGTCCCTCGAAGGTTTCAGCTGGCACTACTGGATATAGCTGTCACATTTCATACACTGTTAACCTCCTGAAGCTTGTCGGCTGCAGCTGGTCGTCAGCTTACTGGCTAGCCTCTCACCTGTTCCTATTTTGATTACACGAGCACGACAAACAGCAAGTTCAAACTAAGCAGGAATTTCCAGCTACTATGAGTGTCCTTGTCCCCTGCAGACATGAAGCTCAAGGCAACGCCGGTGACCGCAAGTTAGGACATCTTTGATCTCCGCGACACTTAATGACAGTGCTGCTGTAGCTGCCACTGCATGCTCATATTCTGAAGCCTGCTGTCTGCATTACACTCTTACACTCCTGCGGTTCGACACCACACGGAAGAGTAGGTCATGACCTCTCAACGAAAGGACAAAAACACCGCGAAGCAGCGTGTAGGTTAGGGGATCGGGACAAGCATGAAGTATCAGGCCGGCGCATGACGGCGCGCGCACACTCCATCGTCCAGTTCCATGAACTGTGGCATTGGGGTGTCTGCCTCGGCGTAAGCCAGGACACGCGGGCGAACGCCCCATCCATTAAGGCTCCAGCACCTGGGAGCGGGTTCGAGTCCGTTTCTCAACCCTTATTTAACCTAACTCTGATGACATGCAGGTCTAGAACACAAAGAACAAGACACCAAGGTCAAAACGAAAGGGCCTTGGTTTGAAGGGTCAGGTTGCGTCGTGCTTCAAGGTGGTTTTGGGACGGAAGTCGCACGATTAAAGATTAGGCTTTGGGCGAAACGCCAAATACACGCGCACACACACACACACGCAAACGAACAGAAACACCGTGACATAGCAATATGTCACACCGGAAAACAACATCCAATCTGTCGGAGCTAAACACAAACTCAACATACATCACACCACTCAATGCAATTTCCTGCTGGCCAACAGCCTGGTGTTGACTGTGGGCTGCAGATGTAGGACAGTAAGAGTAGGAGTGCCATCATTAAATAAGTGTGTACATATACATGTATGTATGTATGTATGTATGTATGTATGTATGTATGTATGTATGTGTGTAAGTGTGTGTATGCATATACCTATATATATATATATGTATAACACGCACATACATACACACACACACACACATATATATATATATATATAGACATACTTGCAATGTACAAAGCCACATAGTGACTAGTCTTCTGAGTGGGATCTGAGCCCCAACAGAGGATGCCCAGTGTAACGGCTATACGATGTAGACATCAACACCGACAGCAGATACAAAGCGAAGGAACTAAGTCAGGACTTGCAACGGCTGAGTGGTGGAGGTACCGCCCTGCATGATTCGAAACGTGGTTCTGCGAATTCCGCTGTCCGAGCGGCCCTCGTGCTGCAGCAAATGCTTCGCCGCTCCTCGGCTCGGTGGAGTGGATATCGTGCACCATGGTGGAGGCTGATACCAGTAGTGTGCTGCAGAGCTTTGGGAAGTGCAGAAATGTGTCTGGCTGGACAAGTTTCTCATGCTGCAACGAGTTCATCTGAAAAGCTATGCCTGCTTAGACCTACCCTCAGATGCTAATCAAGCCACTGATTAACCCGAACCCCAACAAGATCGCCATTCTCTTAACCCTCCACCTGCAAGCCCTTTCCACTTCCTCTCAAACCCTGTTACAGCACGGGTCTAGAACACGACCCCTGGGCCATAGGCACACGTCCAGCACATGAGTGGCCAAAAACCAAGAGCAAACACATGCTTAGAACTGTGCAGATGATCCGAAAGCGGGCTGGCCTGGATGCTTCAACTTGCTAGATACCTATATTCTGCCATTACAGGACGGACATATCCGACAATACGCCCCGCACGAACCCCTGCTGCAACATGTTGGCAAACTCTGGAATTGCCAGTGAGAATACATGCAAAGACTCGGAGACCAATGCGCCCCCCCTCCCCCCCAGCACAGATTGCCGAATCCAGGACCGAAAAGCAAATCCTTCAAGCTAAGGCCAGAACTGCAACAGAAATCATGAGCCCGCATCATTTCGCCCACTTTCATCGTACGTGCTAAGCCAGGAAGCCAGTACCGGAACCTTGCAAAGATAGATTGTCTTCAGCTAGTCTGAGCCCGAACGCACATGTAAAATCTGAGGCTGTTCATGTCATCCGAATCCATGTGCTGCCCTAGCATCCCAAGGCACTCTTGTAGGGGAACATGTCCTGGCACAAACGACGAACTTTAAATGGCCCGGAGATGCGAGAGTGAGTTTAGATGCTCGCCCTGCAGTTCGCTGAATCCACCCAGTCACCGGTACGAACTGCGGGTTCAGAGCCATGCAGATCTGCCATCCTAAATGCCATCAAAACTCTAACCTTCCTACCAGTAGGGAAGCATAGGGGGGTGGCGGGGAAGTTCGAATCTCATTCAGGGCATAGGGCTTTTTTTTCGATGGCAGAGGTGGAGGTAAGACTGGATGTCTGGGCTTGTCGGTGTCAAAGATTCGACAGCTATATGCTACGGATGTAGGGCTGTCGGATTCCTGGACTTACGATCTATGAATGTTCTATGTCTCTGAAAAACCTTAAATGCGCTTGTTGCGGGCTGTTCGCGTTGGGTAAACGTGCCCTGACATGCAAACAATGGCCAAACAGACTCTTCCTGGTCTGCAGCCTCTCATGCACAAACTCCTGTGTTACATTCAGCTCACATAAACTGCCGAGCCCAGCCCCCAGCAGCCCCCACCCCAGCCCCCCGATTTATCTGCGCGCACCAAAGCCTGTGACAGCCTCGGGTTCAGATCGACTTGCAAAACGAAGAGCAAACCCAAACTCCACCACAAGCCCAACATGCTACGGGCATGCATGGGCACAAGGAGATACTGGTCATACCCGACAGCCTTCAGGTTGCAACACGAAGCCGGAATTCTTCACGACTCAAAGCACCAATATGGCAGCAAAACAAAGGCCTCCAAAGACCGAAACCCGAAATCTGACATCCGGCTTCCAGGCACAGCTGAAGCCTACAACCGAGAAGGCTGCAAACATGCAGTATCCGCGGGGTTTGCCATGGCAACTTGCAGTCCTGAGTGGATCGGTTTGCAAGCTCGATTGTACTACTGTCAACGGTTCCCAGCCATGTCATTGACGGGTTGTATAGACTTGTACCCATATATCTCTATCTACGATCTTTGTCTCTCTCGATCTCTTTCTCTCCAGTATCCTTAAGCAGTGATAGAGCACCACGACGATCGAGACGACCACACCCGATGACTATGACTACACCCAGAAACCACAAGAAGATCAGGAAAATCGCCGGTAAACCACGAGGGGACCACCAGCCAAAATGCTTGTCCCCCATCTACTGGCAGGATTCACGGGCACGACCACAACGCTTTCCACCCATGTACTGGCAGGGATTGTGCAATACATTGCAATACCATGTAAAGTGTCGGCAAATGTCTCTAAAGTTGTACATTGTTGTGTCATATGCCGTGTTGTTGGTTGTGACTGCCGACGGTTTTTGTTGTTGGAAAACATGGCGCGCGTTCATAGCGGGTCTGCCCTACTGACGACCTGTCATATCCTCATTGAATACCGTTATGGTTGCATGTTGGCAAGTTCTCGCTCAAGTTGAATAAACATGCGCTGTTGGTCTCGCTGCAAAACGATCCATGCAGATGTTCCGGCTATTCTTCCTACAGATGTGTTGGCACTCGAGGTTATGTCAAGTTCAGTTTGGCACTGTGCGAACTATTTTTGACATTATGGTGAGAGAGCTCTATCTTATCACGATTTTCCCAGCTGTTCTGCCGGTTTAAGCTCCGTCCTTGGCTAACCATTCCTTAAGCTCGCTCCGTCGCATCTTGGGTTCGTGAGGATGGCAATTCCCTTTGACAGACAAACAAACATAGCACGTCCAATACAGAAGCCCTGACCATACATCACCACAATCCTGAACACCCTACAAGGCTCTGCCAATCTGTGGCTGCGAGATAAGACACAAGAGTCCCAAACAAGGCAGGGCAAGTGGCATCAAATCAACTGGGCATGTTTTGCGAAGGTCTTTTGAGGAAAGGGACGGTGAACCTGTAAGGGGTGTCAAGGGCATAGAACATCTGAAGCCCTGCAGTCAAAATGGAATTGAAGAACTTCGACCCTGAGTGTCTGGTGCCGAGCGACTCGTCTTCAGCACATCCACGGGATTAGTCACCGTGGCCTCTTGGTCGATCAATTGTTTCTCGGAGGCATTAGGCCATGCCAACGATGGGATTTAACGATGCGCTTCTAAGACACTGAAAAGGGCCGGGGAAAAGCACGTGCACCTGGCTCCCAGCTCAAACCCCGAGACCCACTTCGTTGTCAAGAACCTTGATGTCCGAACTAGACCGTATGCGGTGCAGAATTCAACTAGTCCAAACAACCCCAATCCACAACTTCGGCATGCACCTCGAAACCACGACCCTGCACCTTCAGCCACAAACCAAATCCCGCTTTCTGCAATCTCCAGGTGAAGATCTTACATGCCATGAAACCCGCCAGTGCATGCAGGCCGCAGCGATAACTCCTGCAGCGACACCGCAAGAAACCTGTGGCTCGGTGTAAGTGGTGTTTGGACCGCGTTATGTCGTGTTAGAGCGCTGATGGCGCGAGACGGCTGATGGTTTTCTTTACACGACATGGTCCTGTCGTGCGAGGTATGCTGTAGGTTTCTTATATCTGTTTGATTGGCTCGAATATCGTGCCATCCACCGCCACAGCCAGCCGCCGACGCCGCCACAACCAAGTCAACATAAACGCCAAGCAAAATCCACCCGACCAAGTTTAGATGATCAGAGCTCGATGACTGCACACACGCGCGGCACACAGGGTTGGAACACTGTGCGCGATCCATCTCGAATCCATCCGTTCCAAGACCTTCGAAGGAGGAACTGGTGTGGAGGACTGCCACAGGCAAGAGAAACATGTCACTGCAAGCTAGGGTTACGCTTGCTACAGACCCGTTCCATACATCACCAGCCCATCGCCTTTTCAGATTTTCGTGTGAAACTCTGCCACATGAATTTCCTAGCACCCTGAATCAAGGCGCTTTCCGAACACACCTGTGTGAATGGACAATCAAAGTTGACGCCATCGCCTGCGCGATGGGATCCAGGTTGTCCATGCCATCTTCGTACCTTCGGTGATCCATCCAGGGTCGGTGCTGCGGTTTGGACTGCTCGTGCCACCAGTAGCTTGGAAAACCTCTCGAGTGGTGAGTGTGCTATTGAAACTCAAGTCCTGCATGCCGCCGGAAGAGTAAGCCAAGGTTAAGAAAGGGTAACTGGATTTGCCAGCTCAAGCCCTTGCACGTGAAGAGCTCCTATTTCGAAGGCCCGTGCGGCAGTTGCTGGCTTTTGGGACTCAGGGGACAGTCCCGCGAGGAGCTTCCGGAGAGGTTGGGGCTGGTGAGAGTTAGTGTGTGTGTGTGTGTGTGACTGGCTGGATACTCTGCAGGGCAGATGCTCGCGGTTGGTCCACCCTTCTTAATCTTCTCGTCCAGGTACGAGGGTAGACAAATACAACAAATGCACCTTCTCGCCAAACTGGGAAAGCCCTGGTGTCAGCTCGGACCATGCAAGTTTCGTTTTTGGGAGCCACCAACGCGAATCTTCGACAGATGGGCTTGTGGTTGCGAGGTTGCGACCAAGATTCCCAGCATCGATGCACATCGTTTTCAGTTTCTCGTAGACCATGAAATAGCCTGCAATCTTGCACGGCCTCTAAAGCTCTTCGATTGTAGGTTCAACGTCAAAGGCAGGAAGCTGTGAAGCCTGTTCTGTAGTGTGCCTCGATACGTACTTACAGGGCTCTGGAGCTACTCCTTTTCAACCTAATTCCATCTGTCTACCGGGAGCCTGTAGACCCAAAGGCATGGGTAATCAATAATCTCCGGTGCTCTGCATCCCCATACCACGTCGCCTTTCGGGGTTTTCCTCCGTGTGCACCCGAAGACAGAAATCCGAACTTGCCTCTCATCATCACTTCGGTCATCAAGATTATCAGCCCTTCTTGTTTAACAGAAGCTCATAGCTGCATGATGCACTGGTAGTCTATAACAGGCATGAGAAAGCCGCCACTACGGATGCGCGGAAGCAAGGCCTACAACACACCCTATGTGCACTTGTGGCCAGAATGAAACTGCCTTCAATAGCATTTCGTCAACCACACAATCGGCAACAAAAATAGCCGCCATAGCAGTAGTGCGGAGAAAATGCAGGAATCACCATCATCCTGTTTCTATTCCTCTCTCTACCAACTTACTGAGCAGCGCTGGTGGAGTGATGTTTCTCCGAGAAGTGACAACAATGCGCATCCAATTCCCAACATGAGACCCTTTCCCACGTACAACGTAACGCATGGTCCCGGATACCCACGCGGACATGCAGGGATTCCAAATGTTCCAAAATCAAACTCTCAAGCTACATGCTGCTATCGCGGACGAGTGGTTTGGCACAACGCCTAGAGTTCAAGACGGGGAGCAGCCATTGAAGGGTGCCCAAGTCACCTGATGGATGGGGAAAGCCCGGTACCTGGGCGTCATCTTGTGCTCTAGGCATCTATCACGACCACTTTCTTATGATGGAAGCTGGAGGACATATTATGGTCTTGGTTCGTGGTTAGCGAGCAGGAATATTGGAGGAGCGGGATGATGGTAAGATATGGTGAGCCTGCGGACGAGAAAACGATGATGCTCCTGATGACGGCGGCAACCACACTAATAGCTACTACTGCTGCTGCTGCTGCTACTACTACTACTACTACTACTACTCCTACTACTACTACTAGACTACTGCTACTAGTACTACGACTACGACTGCAGCAGTACTACTACTACTACTACTACTACTACTACTACTACTACCAGTACTAGTACTAGTACTGGTACGAGTAGTACTAGAAGTACTACTGCTGCTACTACTACTACTACTACTACTACTACTCCTACTACTACTAAAGTACTTCTACTTCGACTTCCGCCACTACTGCTTCTGCTAGACCACTACAACTACGACGAATACGATGTGTTGTTCATGTTTCGACAGTGTCTGCACTGAAGCAGTTTGTCATACCGGGGCGTGTCATGGAAGCTAGCTACCGCAACAAGGAACTGCGGAAGAATCAGGAGTGAGGTTACTACAATTGCTCACTCCCGAAATGGCCCGAAAAGTCCGGCTTTGAGCTCCTCCATGCATGTGGTTCATATCCGACGCATGTGTTTTGGCATGTTTTGGCTCCTGCTGTCGTAAGGCCACCGCAAACCGAGGAGTCCCTCCTTGGCTCCATGAGAACTGTGCGGGAGTCGCAATTCGTTGGCTGGGCGGGCATGAAGATTTAGCTCTGCAAGTTTGGGGATCTAAGACCGGCGACTTCACTCTCAGCCATGCCGCGCTCTGTCACTATGAGAACCGTACTTTGGTTGACAGTAATCGCTTTGTGCACGACATGGAACACAAGAGCCCCAATTCCACAATTTAGCCCAGCCTGAACCCCTGCGAAACTGCCGACCAAGACCACAACATCTTTTAAATGCTTTTTGGAATGCCCGGGGCCTTGGGCCTCCGGAATCTAAGACACCGACCCAGCTCACGTGCAGGTCCGAGCATCATGCCGCAAGATCTCCCGGAACGCATGGAAACTGCCGCTGTAGGCGCTCTTAACCTGCGGAATTCCGACGCAAGCATACGGCTTCGGAGCCAAACTAGAAAACCAGTGGATTCTACAATTCCAATTGACTGCAAGCCCCTGCACGGTAAGTAAGAGCTGGAACCATCGCATCATGTTGCTTGCAAATCCCGAAAATCTAAACCTCAGGCTTGCGAAATCATGCATAGCTATATACATTGCAGCCGACGGGCTGATCATACTTTCGGGGAAGTTTAAGGTCATCGTTGAGTGCTTGACAATGTGTTCAAAGACGAATTTGCCGGACACAGCAAACCCTTCTGTTAAGACCGGGCGGTCCGTTCAGACTCACTGCAAACCTCGTAGATGGCAACGCAAGGCTTTTCTATCTTGATTGGAAGAGCCTTCAGCTGCCCTTCAACTTGTAGTCTCTCTTTGATGACATCCTTGGCAATGGCAGGACTGGGCTTAGAACTGGCACTGCAGCAGGGCAGATAAGAGCTGTACTAGGGGAATACGGCCTGCGCGATGCCTAAGGCGGATCTCAAGGTCAGGAGTCGTAAACAGGCTCATGAAGCCTTGATGAACGATGATCATGGCACAAGCAGTGCACGATTCTTCTACGAGTTTCGCAAAGGACTGGACAACAAACTCAGGGGGAGGATCGGCACCGGGTTCGGTCTGTACTGATGGCTGTTTGCAGCTACTCCATGCTTGAAGACGATCACCAACCCAAGATCGTCTGAGGCTGCCAATCTAAATAATTGAGATACCGTATGCGCATACGTCCGCGCACGCGCACATGCTGGATGTATGTGCGAACATTCGTACGTATGTACCGGTCCGGTATGTGTGGCGCCCACGCACACCTACCTACACCTAACTACCTATACCTGCCTGCCTCTACGTGCACACCTGCCTGCCGCCTTCCTAGAGTCCCAGAGCCAGCTTGCCACCTCACACCTCCCGACCACCTACCTACCCACCTCTGTACATCCATCCATCGATCCGTCCGTCCGTCCATACATCGGTCCACGCGCGCATACATGCATCCAGCATACAGCTACACCAGTACATCCACCCGTCCGTCCGTCCGTCCATCCATGCATCTATGTAACCTGCATAGGGAGTTTCTCAAGTTCTGAAGATTTCTGAAGTGCCACCAGAAACTGTAAACAACACGGCCACCGGAACTCCTCCGTGCTAAACTGCTCAGCCCAGGCACTCAGCGCCTGAAGTTAGCACTGAATATGCGAAGCGTCAGCCCCAACGAAAGACTCTCAAACCCTGGCTTCCACTCTTTGGGTGCCTTGCCATCGGGACCCAAGCCAAAGAACCACAAAGCTGGGCCTTACTACATACTCGAGGGATTTGGGGGTGATCTCCTTCGGGCCGTTGAGACGCTTGAAGGTTTGAACATGCAAACGCAGCAGAGTCATCTGTGAAATAAACGACTTCTATGACTATGATGCCTCAAGCCTCAGTCTGTCTGGTTGCTGGCCCGCTGTGGTTTCAGGCTGCTTTGATTGAGTTTTTTCAAATTTCCCTAGTGCATACTTTGGGGCACGTGGTGGGGTGGGCCGTTTGCACGACCAGTGCTAGGCTGCACTCATCACCACGAGTTAGGGGAGCAAGGCGTTGAATGGAAGATGCAATGGGACCGCAGAAACTTTCCGAGAAAGCTGAGATTCCGACGCAAATGCCAGAGGCAAAATTTCCAACTCCACTTTGACCTCCGCACTCCGCACTCAGACCGTCTTGACATGCCATGCCAGCCGTACAATGGAGCTATGACTCCCCGAGCCTTAATCCCGAAACTCCACTTCCGACCTCCGCCGAGGAAGGTTTTCGCTGTCTCGTAGCCTCCAAAGTAGAGGCCCTGCACCAACCGTTCAATTGTTTGGGGCTTCGGAGATCCACCGGGAACTTGCCTTATGTCTCGGGGCCCTCTTCGAAAGAGGTGGAAAATGGGAAGGCGTGCAATTACATGGTGTCATGGCTTTAAATGCTTCTTGCGGCTGCTTCCGTGCGGTGTCAGGACAAACTGCGCTTCTCCCCAATACATCCGAAAATAAGCTCAGGTAACTTGTTGGTATGTACACTACCTCCGCATTTCGCACTTCCCAAATCACGAGCCTCGTGCAGTCTACACTCGCGATCTTGCGAAGCACTACGAATGATGGCATTAAAATCCGAATCTTCTGCACAAGCTGAGACACTTACGAAACCACCACGCGAACTACCAGTAACAGCATGCAACGAAGCAGGTTCATCGGTTCAGGGTAAGGTTTGAGTAGCATCTAGTTCTCATGCAAAGAAACAGCTGCTTTCTGAGTTGGGTTCCAGTCCAGGGGTCCGTATTACTCTTGACTTCGACTGGTTAATAAAGTAGATACACGAGAATTCTGGAGGCTATGAGAGGAAGCAGTGATCCGAACCTGGGCAGGAGCTGCACCAACGAGAACGGCGCCGAGACCACGGTAGAAAGTGACGAGGCCCTCCTGACCATCAGCGCCACTGGTCAGGGAGACAGGTGCCCGGAGTGTATAACTTTGTGCCGAAACGGTGGTTCTGCGTTCTGATTCGGGTGGCGATGCGGACATGCATTTGACATGGAACGTGCAAGGATTTCCGGAAAGACAAGGGCTAGCAAGCATGATGGTACTGTATAGGCCTGGCGGCTACTGGTCTCTGAATGCACTTGCTGCTCGGTTAGTCTTGATCTGACAATTGACCATCTCCGACCACTGCAAGCCTAGCAGCCCGTCCACGCCCGAGCAACATTTACAGCCCCAAACTTAGTCACAATTGGGATTCCTGTCGGGTGGTTCTTGTCAAGATAAACTGTCACTCCATGGGCGCCCGGAGCGAAAGAATGTCGGAACTGAACTCTCGCTGATTCTGGATTGAAGCTCGGCATGCTAGGGCTTGGGAGTGCTTCAACCTGCAGCCACAACAAGAAGAATAAACTCCCAATAACATGACCTCAACATCAAGCATCATCTAGTCATGGCCCTCCTGACCTGTAAACTTCCTTCCGAAGTGTTGCGGTGCCCAGATAGAATTCAATGTTCAAAGAAGCTGACCGCTCGCCATTTGCCAAGATCCTCGATCATTCTAAGCTTGTCACCATGCTCAGCCAACACAAACCCAACCAAACGGCAGGACCCATAACGCCCCCTGTAACGTAAGCCCGCGGCATTTTTCATGATGTGGCTCAACGCATGAGTGACCTGAGAAGTCGTAAACAGGCTGGGGGGTGCAATCCGAAGCAAAGGAGTGAAGGAGATCAGCGACGCCTGAGCACAAGAAATGCCTCAATGGAAAACACAGCATCACCATTTTCGTCCTCATCAGGATAAGCGACAACCATCCTCGTCATCGTCGAAACACCATGTTCAACGTCATCAGCATCTCCATCATCAGCCATCAACAGATAGAAACGTCGTCAGCATCGTCGTCCTCGCGGCTGTCGCCCGCCATTACCACCGTAAGGCTCACAAGAAAGGACAACAGTAAAGGTAACCGGTATAGCAGCAACAGCATCTGGAAGCAAGAGCCCTAATCCTATTCGCGAACAGAGAAGCGTGGAGTCGTGGGAGCTCCCAAGAGCCGCACACCCCGATAGGCAACGGCACCATGCCCGCCGCCACCGCTGCCCTGGTCTCATAATTATAGCAGCTGTGGCGTGGATACTCTTCAGAGATGGGATCCACTCGGCTCAAGACGAAGAGCTAGGCTTAGGGACAGCTGGGGTTTGGAGGCAGGCTAGGACCTGACACAACTTAGGGCAGAAGGAGACCTATCAGAGTCAAATAGGGCAGCGGGCCTTTGCTCAATGCAAGCCAATGGCAGATCAATGTCTTGATTTTGTGTCAGCTTTCTAAACTCGCAATCGGCGCCGCAGGTGAGGTTGGATGTTTTTGCTCAGGCGCAGTGCATGGCAATACTCCGATGCAATATGATGCAATGATCGCATGGCGGGCTAAGGGCATCCGAAGCCAAGCCTCGAAGGCTTCCACTGGAGCAAACTGCGCCCAAACAGGTTCAAGCCCAGTCGTAAACCGAGAACGATCGGCCCTAGACGGCCCTAATCCCAGCCCAGGAAAGCAAGGACAAATACACGGTGAGTGGGCAACAATTAGAGGAAAACTTGACAGCAACATACAGCAATAGTGAAAGCCATACATAGTTTCAATAGTAGAACCAATGATACCGCTACGAGGAATGCAACCAGCTTGCCCACCTGAACCTGCAGCCGAGTCTTGATCGTCGACAGCGGATGTGTGATAATGTCCTGATGGGCTTCAGCAAGAAGGTACTGTAGCCGACTGCATGAAGAAAGCAGGTACAGCTAGGTTTGCGGGGTTTGCGGAAGCATAGAAGATGCTTGACTACCTTGCGGATGGCAAACTCCTACTCCGCGTTGCAACTGTGCCAAGAACACGATATGCTGAAAATTGGCTGACTGTGGCTTACCTAATCTAAGGGCTGCACAAACCGTCCAGAAACTACAGTACCTCGGCACTCCCAACAAGTTTGGAGGTGCCAGCCGTGGTGGACCGGGAAAATGCTGAGCATCCACGCCGCGATTGTCCCGGCGGCACTGCCTGCCAGAATCTGGGTCTGGAGAGCCTTGGACATTGAACTCAGGGTTCTTGTTATCATCATAGGATGACATGAATACCGGCGACACCCATCTGAGGCTCCGTCCAAGTCGACCATTGCTGCTATTGCAGATCAAAACCCGGGCAAGGGATCAGGTGTACTGGCTAGCTAAGAGCTACAGGAGCTACATATCCTTGTCCTCTGGCGAGTGTGGGAGCCATGCGTTGTGCACAACAAACACCTCTCTTGAAGCTTTGCTCGCCAGACCATGCAATGTCTCGTATCTAGCCGTCACCAGCACCACCTTCGTGAGCAGCTTGCGCGGCGGGGCTGCAGCAGGGAATGCTTTGCTGGGAGGGCAGTTCTAGCAGTGCCACGCACAGATTTCGTATGATTACTGAGGTGCACACATGTGTATATATATATATATGTGTGTGTGTGTGTGCATATATATATATATATATTTGTACATACATGTATACGCACACACTGTATAACTATTCATAAGCATGTCCAGATACACACGTTCATGTCTTATACCGTATGCGCTCTGTTCGACTCGATGCTGTTCTTTTGTACAACACACACTGGGCCCCTCATTTCGGGTCTGCTTTCGAGCAGCTCACTGGCACTTTGCCCTGCTGTCACCTGGCAAGCTGTCATTCATCTGACGTCTCAAGAGTTGCAGTTCAGGGTCCGGCCAGGGTGGGGTCCTTAAGCATCGCTTACGGCGTCCACTCCCGGCAGCCAGGCGAGGCTCTTGGGTGATTGGTGGGTTGGTTTTGGTTGAGACCTTTTTTAAGTCAGGGGTAAGACCCCAGGCGGCGTAGTAGTCAAACCCGATTCGTGTAAGTGTAGCATGACAACAACCAGGGGCCTAACCCAGTGCCGAACTGGGGACTCTCAAAGTGCAATGCTGTTTTTTTGTGGCAATCTTGGGTCTTCAGTGTTAGTCAGCTCAATCGTTACACCGCCACCACCCACCCGCAGCAGCACCTCGTACCGTCGCCTCCGGCTTTGCCACCGCCTGTACACGCAAGCGCAATGCAGCAAAGTGGCTTCCCTACCGTTGCCACAACGAGACGTGTAAACCATCCAGTCAGGCTACCTGGGGGTCCTCCTCAACGCCTGTTGCGCACTCGGAACTCCGAACGCGAGGCCGATTGAACCGAGCGAAATTCGTGGAACACGAAGGATTTTGAAAGCTTGGGGCTAGTATGGGGTCTTAGTGGCCAGTTTTAATATTTGGTGTGCAGGACTCCATTTTAGGCTGGGAGCTTCGGGTTCGTGGCTGTCTCGCAGGCAAGCAGTACAATGAGCTTTTCGAGACGTAGCAGTCGATGCAAGCACAAGGTCAAGGTCTCCCTTCTCAGAACTTGTGCGAGATCTTGGAGAAGGCCCATGAAACACCTTGCCATGGCTGACATGACAGCAGGGGCATCACAGCGGGAATAATGTATAATCATTATAATCCATGCAGGCAGGCCCAGCTGCGTGACAAGGTTAAATTTAAATAACTGACCCAAGATGGTAAACATAATGCCTTGCTTGGTTTGCAGATGTGCTTTGCCCAGGTCACCTTGGCGCTTCCCCTTTACAGGCAGATGGATTGCGTTTCCCTGCTACCACACACCCGATCTTGACCTTTCAACAAGGCCTGCCATCAAGCAGATTGCCAAGATTCAAGAGGCTGGGCGATAGGTTCTTAAGCTTGGCGCCGGCCACGCAGAGCAGGTTGAACACAAAGTGGCCAGACACTGCCATCAGCGCATGGGACAGACCTGCTGCGGCTTTCCAAGAGTGTCTTGCTCGTGCTGGAACGACAACGACTGGCAATGATACTGCCAGACAAACAGTGATGGCTGTTCATGTATGAGTAGTACTGGACATAGTACCCAGTGCCCACCTCTGACCATCCGTTGACACCTCAAATCACATGCTAAACAGTGGAAACCTCACCCCGTAAGCAACAATCCCGAGCTGTTAGCTGACCTTTGCCGGTGATGCGCCCAAGAAGCGGAGATTTTGCGTTAGTAAGCTTGGCCCCTGGTCCCGGAGAACTCTCTAGCATTCGCCGCCGCGCATCTCAGTTTCCACCCCCTCAGGAGCCCACATGTCGAAAAGAAGGAAGCGATCTTTATCCCGCAGGCCCGGTCTTTTTTGTGCAGAACTTTCCCTGAGCCCGGCCTGAGGCTTTGTAGCTCATCGTCTCAGCGACTGGATCCTGCTCAGAACACGATTGCAAAACAACTCAAAATGACTGTATGATTATGAATATTATGAAACAACAGGAACCAACACATGCAAGCAAGAACACACCAAGCATAAGACAGCTGACATAAACAAATGCACACGAGCCATGTCAACGCCAAGACATGGCGAGGGTTATAGCAACAGACCATAAATGAGTCGATGACAATGCTCATGAGTTCCTGTTGCATTGTGGCCATGGCCCATGTCATGATCCTGATTACGGCAAGAACGACAATAAAATCATGTACATACGAATTACTGAGAAGGCAGTCAGTCGAAATCGTCCTTGACCATTAGAACCCAGTTCATCATCACACTCTTACAGATTGTCATCGCCATCACCTGCCTCCTCCGCAACATCATTAACCAACGGACCAGTGATCCTATCATATTGCATTTAGCAGGTAGATCATACACACACACATACGCATACAACGCCACACAGAAAACACTCTGGATGAAGCCTTCCCTTCACCTGAGTGAAGCCCGCTCGATCCTGCATCCAGTAGAAGAAGAGCGGATGGCTCGCCTCAGCTGAGAAAACGGGATGCTCTTATCCCAAGGGACAAAACAGCGAAAACTAAGCCGTCCTTGATGTTGTACGCCGCTTCGGCCTGCTGCACTGCCAGCCGGAAGAACGGCCTGAACCAAAATCAAGAAGCAGCTCTGAGCTCTGTGAGGGAGCTTTGATGGGGCTTGATAGGGCCTGGAGTTGTTCGGATTAGGGCTAGGGTTGAGTGCACACTGTTGTCGGTCCTTTCTTCCAAACCGTAAATACGTCGAGTCCTTGATCACGTGAGAACCATGCACTCAGGCGCAGTTGCGATTCGGAGTTCAGATGCGGCGGGTATATTTCGGAAATGCGCGTTGGCGAGATGCACACTCAGTTTGAGATAGACACCTTCAGGCTGCCAAGGTGGGAATTCCTCTTCGAATGCCAGACCCGTTCCGTTCGCCAGTGCTCGGACATGGATCAGAAGGAAACAACAACTCCTCAGCCGCAAGCAGTAGAGTGCAAAATAAAACCAAGAATAGATTTGCAACTCGCGTTCAAAGTGCTTCCGTGTCTATCCTCCTAAAGCATCGGTGAGAAGATTTGTTGAATTCGAAAATTGATTTCAGGAGCCTTTCAGGGGCAATGTCTTGAATGCGATTCTTTTCTGCCCTCTCAGACCAGAGGCGAAAAGCGAGAGGTTTCAACACAGTGCAAGGCACCAACTACTCCAAAATGCTCCACAAGGCCACGAAAGCAGAAGTCAAACAACGGATAAGACATGCCGAAGCTCATGCTCAGGAAGGCTTTCTAACGGAATCCTTGAGATCAATTTTCGACACGTCGTGACGAAGTTCGAACGAACCAACAGACCACGGCCGCCTCTGGTCATCGCGCATCAAGCGCAGCCCGGCGCGGGCCCTCGGATTGTTGTACCTCAACACATGCACACCATGGCGCAACACGGTGCTCGGCGATGGCGATGGCGGCGACGGTGGTGGCCGTGGGACGGCATGAAGGATTGTAACGAGATTGATGGTGTCATGATGACCACGAAGACTGTCGGGTGTTGTGCTCGTCGTCTGCATTGTCGTCGTGATGTTTCTGCTCCCGCACTGTTGTTTGTGCTTGACGGATTGATTGATTGATTGATGGATGAACGGATTGTTGAGGTCGTGACAGCGAGGATGACGATCAAGATGACGATGCCACATTAAATACCATGGCGAATGGCGAAATACTGTGAGGAGGTGATGATGCGGAATCGCGGTGGTCGTCTTTGCAACGGCGGTCGTGGTGGTGGTGGTGGTGGTGGTGGTGGTGGTGCCAATGGTGGCGAGTGCAGGAACGTTCCAGCACACACCATCCTTCATGGTCCGGTGGACAGTGCAGGCGGTTGATAGGCCCGGGTTCTGTGTGACTTGTGCACTGGAGGTTGCACGTTCACGTAGTTCCAATCATGCAAAGCATCGTGCATGATGACGTGACGCGTGTGGGAACTTACATAGCTGTCAGTGTGTGTGCACTGGTGTGTCGGTTTGTGGAGTTAGATGTTGATGTATGTTGATGTGCGTCTATACCTGTATCTGCTGCATTTGATATCTTTGTCCGTCTGCATATGCACTTCTGTACCCACCTATACCTTCCTGCCTACAGACAGACAAACATCAACAGGTACACATACATACATACATACATACATACATACATACATACATATATACATACATACATACATACATACATACATACATACATACATACATACATACATACATTACATACATTACGTACTCAAGTGGGTCTCGGGCTAAGCGTTTGAGCTGGTCAATGGGGCTTTCTGACCTCAAATACACCTGAACATAAACTTGGGTGTTTGAGTTTGAGCATCATGGACTCTCTACCCTGGGGTCCAAGTTGAAGGAATTTCTCATTCCGAGGTCCATTTAGACAACTCAGCCGTTCATTCCACGATGCTCTCCGCAGCGGAAGTCTCCTCGGGCGCCGCCTCGGAAAGGCGGGCCAAGTTCCGAATTCAGAACATAGACAGGACATAACTAGGAGTCATTCACGAACCAAAATTAAACCGAAATGGTGGGATTGTGCTGTGCACACAGAAGGCTTCAGTTTTAATCGTTTCTTCCACTCCGTGGCAATCCATCGAACTTTTTTTTGTTGCCATCCGGTGATCCGGCGGCCACTACGCGAGCGCTTTCTTGCATTTAGCCTCATGTTCAGTAGTCTGAGCTCCCTCTAAGCCTCTGGGGTTCAAGTTTGAGGAGGTTTCACGATGCATGAACAACGGTTTGTGTTTGCCTTGCTTTCTATGAGCATGCAAGCGGGTGGCACAGGTTCGAAGTAGGTCCGAAGAGTTTGAGAAATGACAGGCCCTCCAGACGTCATCATCACTTTCAGCTCGAATCTCAGCAGCTCAGTAAGCCACGCGAAGTTCGGGTAAACTTCAAAGCCAAAACTCCAGCACAACCGGTGCTCGGTCCCAGTAGCCGCAGCAGTTGACGCCGACTGCCCAAAAGTCGTAGGAGGAGAGCGGCGCTGCTCCACTGATGATGGGGGCAACACAGTACCTCTGTCGGGGATGGTCGGGGTCCATACGACCAGGCTCCGGAGCACAATAACTGCCATCTGCACCGTTACGACCAAGTTACTGACATGAGCTTCCTAGCAACGGGAGTCCGAGATAGCTCGCAGCTCATAAGGACTAAACTCCTAAGTTCCCACTGTTTGGGAAGCTTCACCGAGGCGTGAGGGTGCAGTTGCTTCAGCTTCTCAACTGGCTCCTGTCTGTTGAGTTTGATTTATGAAGCCAGATCTCTTTCTGAAAACCAAAAACTGTTTATGTTTTGCTCGTGACATGACTACAAATTCCAGAATGCTTAGACAACTCCAAACTCAACGTTTTCAGCCAGGTTAAGTCCTTGAAGCTCGAAACTCCCAACCACCTCTGTCTTTTTCAGGCTCTTGCGAGACTGCAACTGGTGGCCTCGGCGGCCTGCTATGGGCCGGACCGGAAGTCTGTCGCGCGTGCGTCAGTCCCCCCAAAATGGCCATGAACCTGCAGCCTAGTTAGCCTCTGAGAGTCTAAGGCCACCGGATCCCCCCTGCAACCTCCACTCAACAGATCGTTCAGCACGAGAGAGGGGGCCTCTCCAAGTTCTTGAAGGACATGGACTTGCTCACGTCCAGAGAGGCCCCATCTTCGAAGTAGACGCGCCCTGCATCCATCAGCTGCTGGCCTGGGCAACTGAAACACAGCTCAATTATGGGGGTTTCCGAAAATAGGGGACCCTAATATAGTACCCTAAATAGTAGGATCCTTATTATAAGGACCCCAAAATAAGGGACCCCTTATTTTCGGAAACTCCCATATGGGTGTGGGAGGGGTGCTGTGATTTCTGGGGTCTTCGGAACTCGGAACTCGGTAAGCCAGGAACGCTACACTCCTGAAGGTTGCACGCTTCTTCACCGTGCTCATGTGGTAGCTCTAGTTCCGAATTCTCGTTGGGTGGGCAGTTGGTCCATATCTTAATGCCGGAGGTCGTCTCGAATCCTCCTCTCAGCCTAGTCCGTACTTGATGCTTCACGTGCCTGTGAATCCTGTGACCTTCTTGTTGGACATAGGCGCCTACATATCGATCTTCCCGCTGACAGCTTAGCCCGACCTGAAATCTCTCAAGCTACCTTAGCTTAGTATCAGAACCGCCGAAATTCCTATGACATGGACCCCTGCCAAAAGCCCAGCTAGGAAAGCCACAGGTCGGAAATACCTTCGACGTGCCTCCTGCCTTGGCGTAACTGCCCACTCTGTAGCTTTCTTCAGCTGCGGCTCACTGCAGGTTTTCATTCCTTCTACGTCTAACGATGTTGTCGTTGCTAAGGTGTTGGATTAGCATGACAATGACTTAATGCCAATGAGGCTTAACAAGGCGTCACAGCTCGTGTTCCTGGTTTTGACACCCAATAGCATCAGACACCGGCGCCTCGCTCACGAGCAGGACTAACATCAGGATAGGAGTTGATGTTCTCGATGTCCTGATCAGAACTAAGTCCAACCTCGAGAGAGAATACAAGGTGCCATGCAGAGGCAAATTCATTCAGGTTTCGTGCAAGGTGTTTCATGAGTTGTTGAATGATCCTTACTGCTGCTAACTTGCACCTGAGCCTATAGGGAAGCTTTAGATTCGTGCAGTTAGGCTTTTCGGCGGGATTGTCCAGAAAATGTCGCAACATCCGGAAAAGACAGCGCAACAAGCAAGCACGAGGTTCGAACAGTGCACGGCGGAGTACAGTTCTCAAGTTTCACAGCTACCGTAACAGAAGCAAGCAGTCACGGTACTGAACCCTCGCATCTCAATCCGAAACAGCGGTGATCTGATGAATACATTGTAAAAACCAGGTGAAATCCGGCTCTGCTCGCAACACTGCTGCACGTGACAATTCCCGTCTCACCTGCCCAGCACCTGACAGTCTGGGCTGCTGAAGTCAAGCGACGTAGTATGGTTGCATGTGGTACCAGTAGTTCGTGTCGCCTGGCCAGAAGCTGAAGCCGAACTCCTATGACTATGGCCCATGGTTGCGAGGACACGACCTTCCAAGCAAGTTACTCGACTCCGCGGCTCATCTGCTGGCTGTATAGACAATCTGAAAGTCAACGGGCCCAGTCACCCAACGTGGCGGCCAACACGGTCGCCGCTAAGTACCTCAACAGTCAACATGATGCTTAGTGCCATGCAGGAAGGTGCACATCCGCAGTCAGCATTGGGTAGTTTTGACAACGCTGCCACCATCTTTATGCCATGCAGAAACTGCGTGAATGCGGATTGAGGACCCAACGCTTATCGCAAATTCGACTGGCTTTGGACTATGACTATGAACTGAACCAGTATGGAACTGCTACATCACTGTTGTTGGCATGGTCGGTGGTGGTGGGTGGTCTCACTGGTGATTACAATGGTGGCATACCGCTGGTACTGACAGTGCTACAATGAGGTGCTGCTGGTTGCGGCAGCGCCGGTGGTGGTGGTGGTGGTACAGGTAGTGTTGCTTCTGGTTCTGGTGCGCAGGCGGTGGCGATTGCAACCACCAAGAAGACAGGTGAGAGCCGTTTTGACCCGAATTCTGAGCATGTTGTTGCCGATGCTCGAGTTCACACACACTAGGGCGTCTTCGTTTGGGGGTTTCCAGTCATGGGGCCTGGTTCATTCTTAATACCCATTGCACGTCTCAGCCGAGCCGCGCCATAGCCGCAAAGGTACACCAAGTCGGATCCTGCTCCTGCATCCGGCTCCTGCCCATTCGGGTGCGGGTCGCAGGATCAGGTCTGAAGCCGAAACTGACGATTGAATCCTCAAGCCCCCACCCTCAACCCACGGTGCTGAGTGAGACTAGGGACATCGTCTGTCCTCATGTTGTGTCGGAGTCTTACTGTGGGCGTTTGAGCTGGGGAAGTGCTGCGTGCAGAAACCTCGCACTCCAAGCTCGAAACCTTCTTTCAGCCGCCAGCCATGGGCGAGACTCAATCGCCCTTTGTTATGCATGGTACTTGAACGTTGCAGGGTCCTGCACTATGAAACTGATTTTGGTAGCTTCTAGCAGCTATTACGACCTAAACTGTCTATGACAGGCGGTCCACCACACAAACTAGCAAACAACAGCAGCTGCTGCAAGCCCATGAACAATGATTGATCTAACTCCAGTGCCATCACATACGTCTCGACGTATGCTTCACAGTTCTGGAGCTTCTCGTGCAGCCGAAGCTACTGCATGTTTACAGGAAACGGTGAAGTTCAGGATGCGGTGAACATGTGATGTCGGATGGGCCAGCGAAGCATGACGAAGTGATGATGTTGATAGTGGCACACATGTCTTGTCAGAATGGCGAGGTGGTGGTGATAGTGATGCTCGTCATGCTGGTAGCTGGCAGGGTAGATAGATGGACAGACAGACAGATAGATAGATAGATAGATAGATAGGTAGATAGATGGACCGATAGATAGATAGGTAGATAGATAGATAGATAGATAGACAGATAGATAAATAGACAGATAAGGTTGATACATATAGATAGACCAATAGATCGACAGATCGGTCGACACACAGACAGAAACATAGATGTCTAGGTTTAGAGTTTAGAGGTAGATCGGTAGATCGATCGATAGATAGATGCAGCAGCAGCAGCAGCAAGAGCAGGAGCAAGAGCCGTCGTTGTTGCTGTTGTCGTCGTTGTTGCTACTGTTGTCGTCGGTGTTGGTTTTATCATCTCTCGGTTTCCAACTTACAGCAGCTGCTACGGCATCAACAGATATATCTGCATGTGCTAGCTGGCTGCACGTCTCCTCGTTCGATGCACGTAGGAAAATTCATGCAGCAGTGGTTGGAATTTCGGCGCACACGTGTTCAAGCTATCAAGGGCGATTCTGATGAATCCGGCCAGTACCGTGAACTGTGCGCACCATGACCCTGAGCATCCTTGTGGTCAAGCTTATCACTTGCATCAGTGGCTGTGCCTGCAGATCCATGAGCATCGTCATGAGTAGCATTCAATTGACTCAAGTTATCCATTTTCGCCTCCCGCCTGGCTAGGACGAACCTACGATGCAAGTTATCTTGGTTCGGCATCAGCGTCATCACCACCGCCATCCAGCATGACCATAAACATTGTCACTACACTCAACACGACCATCACCCCACATCGTCATCGTCATTATCATCTTCCAAACTGCCAAACCAGCCATCACCACCAAGACTCAGCCTAGGAACACTTTAAAACCGCGATGTTGAGGACGATCCAACAACGGCTTGGTTCAAACACGCAAGAACCCCCCACCCTGATTTTCGGACGCACCATGGAACAAGTCCAGTTTAATGAGAGGGGTAATGGCACCAAGGAGAAGGCAAATCTGGCCCTTTTCGCCACTGGGCGGCGCCTGTGCGCAAGGAATGCACACACTGCGGCCAGGACCAGGCCAGCACCGGCACAAGACCAGGCCAGCGCGGGGTGGTAGTAGTGCAGCTGAAAAGACCTCGATTTCTTTCAGCCCTGAAATCACAAAAACTGGGGGATCATGCGAGAACCGGTGCGACAACGGCGCTGTCCGACTGCAAGATGCCCGAAGCTACCATGCACAAAAGTGGCACAATCCATGGCTATCTGCTGGATGGGCATCTATCGGTCTCAGAGGCAAGCCATAGATGCTCTATGACTATGACTCTACGAACAGACAGAGCTTGAAAGTGTTCGAAAATGCGCGAGAGAGGCTGTGTGACTGCAGAGCAACTACCAAACCCGAATTGTAGTAGGAACCATGGAAAGTCATCTTGGCACCGCAGAAGGCCGCCGGGATCATGCCCATGTGGCATCAGAACCACAAACATATCCGGCAACGTCTAAGTGCCGCAATCATTCCGAAATCTGTGAGTCTGTGATGCTGCGGTCCAGCCGCAGCGCTGCGAAGATGCCTCGAATGGACTCGGAACTCTTCACATCTGCAGAAAGCGCAAGTAGTGTTGTAGCACGACTCCACCCACTCTTGCTGGCAGTTGGCAAGCAGAGAATTGCTGTTGGGACTATCCTAGAGCCGAGCGCTGCGGTGAAGCAAGGACAAACAAAGTACGGTAGCAGCACTAGTCGTCGTCGTGGCCGTGGTTGTTGTTGCTGTTATTGCTGATGTTAGTTTTGCTGACAATGTTTGCGCTTGTTGTTGCTGTTTTCGTTGTTGCTGCTGCTTCTGCTGTTGCCACTTGCTTGTTGTGCCTGTGGTAGGCGCCGTTGCTAGTCTTACCAGCAGTAGTCGTTGCAGTCGTAGTGGCAGTCGTAGTTGTAGCAGCAGCAGCAGCAGCAGCAGCAGCATCAGCAGCAATAGCAGTACAAGTAGTAGTCGCCGTCATAGCCACAGCCGTAGCCGCAGTCATAGTCATGGTCGTAGTCGTTTGATTATGACTAGAGGTATCAGTAGAAGTAGCAGTAGGCAGGTGGGGGGGGGGGTGGCTAGCAGTAGGAGGAGTAGCAGTAGCAGTGGTAGCAGTAGCAGTAGCAGTAGCAGAGGTATATGGGCACGCACATATCTGCTTTTGGCATCGTAAGGATCTTCGAGTTCTGCATAAACCCATTGCAGATGGACTCTAGCTCACACACACAAACAGGTACGGAGCAGCCACATTCCCAGGGGGAACTCAACGATTGCGGTACTCTGTAAAAGGGTCACTGGCTAGAAAGCCAAGGTGCCGCAGAAGAGGAGCCACGGTGCTAAGATGTTGATGGTGATCGCCACCACATTCAAGCGTTTGCCTCAGACAAGGCTGTGTAAGCCCGGGCCAGGTAGTTTTCACGCACGACATCTGAGTTAACATTCGGAAATTAGGTCGGTCTTCAGCGACCGAACCACTTCGCAACTGGCAATGTCATGTTATTCGCAAGCCCTAGCTTGCGGAAACTGAGCTTTTCAAACGTGGCTGGCAAGCCGGGGTTGGCCGGTTTGTGGAACGGTCGCATTACACAGTAATAGCAGAGAGACCATAGACCTTTCAGAAGTCAGCACCGTGCATCTCACCGAAAGGGAAGGAATCGAATCTTCATGTCGAACGAATGCAATTTTTCGGAGTCAGTTCAACAATCGAAACCCTCATGGCAGTCTGAGCAGCGCTGACCAGGCGTGAAGGAGCTGACATCCTTGCGTGCATAGCCCATGGATCCACTGGGTTGGTCCTGTCGCGCAAGGATCTGCCGTTTGGATGATCCCAGAAGTTCGACACGAGCGAAAACGCAGTGGGAAAACGAGCAGTTCTCGGCGTACCTTGTCTGAACATGAGCAGCCCAAACTAATCTCGCTTGATCGAGTCTTAAATACTCTAGACACGACAGTGCCTAGGACGTCACGATAGATACAGAGAGGACAACACAGCCAAGTAACCTAATGCAGAACTGTTGCAGTTTTTTCGTGGCTCTATGGCTAAATGTGAATGATGAGCATACACTTATCTGTACAAAATTTATACATACACAAGCACATACACAAAGAACCGTGTGTGTGTGTATATATGCGTATATATATATATATATATATGAGGCGCTGCATTTGTTTGAGGCTTAGGCTACTTGCGGTATCTCGAAGCGGTGCCCCTCTCTCGTTTCATCATATTAAGTACTGGCAGAAAAACTGGATCTCGTTCAAGTATCGTCAGTAGCAGCACTGATCATAAGTGAGCCTGATCTCGTTTTATGCGGTGCACCTATCTCGTTCCCCTCTTTCAGCGGGTTCGGACCAAACAATAGCGCAATGAGCTATCTCGATCCAAAAGGGCATAGTATTGCGCAAATAAAGAGACAGAACAGCTGCGGTATTTGTGTGGAAAATCCTTCGGGGTTTTAGACAAACGGCGGTCAACCAATGAATCAACATGTGTACATGCATACTCATATATATATATATACATATACATATATACAGAAACACATATCACATTTGTCTATATAATTATGCACACCTACAATAATACATTATGCTATACCTTATTTTCTTGTGGTGATGTTATGTTATACTAAGTCTCATGAACTTGTTTATAAGCACTAGCTTTAAAGTACATTGTATTACTTAATACATCAAATTATGGTGTCTTTTTGCATAATGCATGAAAGCACACTATCTTATACTATGCATTACATGTTGCTATCTGCTAGATTACACTGTGTTATATCGCATTAGAACATACTTGCTTTATTGTTTTGTTTTCCATATCTTCAAATATTATATTTTGGTACATTGCACTATATTTGACTAGATTATGTTTTATTACAAGTTCGTAAATTACAATCAAACGTACACATGCATGTAGGTGTACATGCACATGCTATGTTCATACATGCATAGGTACCTACACATATTTAGAACACGTGTGTGTATATGTAGGTACATGTAAACTTTCATAAACACTTACATACATACATACAAATGCATATACTTACATCTATATATATATATATATATGCAGAAAGGTACGCCGTGGAGGGGGGAGTTTTGATTAGGAGAGAAAAATACATCACTATACATATATATATATATATGAGCATGTGTGTGTGTGTGTGTCTGCATGTATGTCTATGTGTCAATGAAGAACAGCGGCATGTACGCTTCCTCTCCCTGCCCGGCGACAAAAGCTGAAATGAGTACGGTAGAACGGCATGAGGATAGGTGGTCGAGGTTGGCTGGTGAAGCTTTAGTTTGGGGCCGACTTGAATGATGCCTAACTACAACTTGAGGCTTGCAAGCATTCAAGAGTAGGGGCCTTGGTCCTGAACAAAGGGCTACCTTGTGGCAGTCAAGTAGAGGGTTCTTTTGGTGTTCAGTCCAGATGATCGGCCTTTGCAGATTATGGCGTAGTGGATGTCACAAGGTTCAAAGAAGGACACGGTTGGCTGACTACCGGCGAAATTTGGAATTGCTGCGATGTGCCAAAGCCACACGTCGTGTTTTAGAGTGTGCATGGATGCAAGCATATCCAAACCTATGTGTGTATGTATATACATGCACACACACCGCGTCCTCTTCACCAGGCACTACTTGTCAAGCTTTCATGGTTTCCAAAGCTTCAGGACATAACGCTTCCGGTGCGACAAGAGCCATCAAACCATGCCCATGGAGCTGATTAGGACACCAACCATCGCCCATCAAACATGACGATGCTCAGGTACAACACAGAGAAAGCTCGAATGCCCTTGCAATATTTAAACCTTAATGACTATACGACTTGAAATGACAAAACCTAATCCAAGCTCAAACCCCTGGTGTCTCGCACGCTGCAGTGTGGTCTTTACAACCAGGAGAGTTTGCCCATGCCGCCGAGGAGCCATCTGGGCTGAACCCGGACCCTCGTGGCCGCGGGCACTTCGTTTCTAAGCCCGAGGCTGCGGTGTGGGTGGTCTGAAATTCTCAGAGGCAGTTATCCGACAGACGATGGCAATCCTGACCGTCGTGTCATGTCTAATCGACCTTGTACAGACATGTGGCAACACGTCAACAGCTGATGGCTCCCAGGATATGGTTGAAGTGGGCAGTCCTAAGAACGGTGCGGTAGTGGGGATTAGTAGATTAACACTGCCAGCAACAGCACGGCAATGCTCTTCCTATCAACTGTACTACATGTACTACATCTTGCACCATTAACGACCTATGGATACACACACACACATATGCATACGTATATATATATATATATAGACATGTATATATATATATGCACACTTTTTACCACGGTTCAAACAAGACCACTTGCATTCTATGGGCAGCAACATGTGGTCGCACGCGTGTGTGCATGTGTATACATATACATGTCAATGTGTATAGAAACACACATATATTCCTAAATGCAAACAAATCTGAAAACATACATAATTATCGGATGGATGTATGGATGGATGGATTGATGGATGCATGCATGCATGCAGGCATGTGTAGCTACTTCTCAATGCGAGTTTTGAAGACGGCGTACTGACACGGTATTATTTATGTACTGTGCCTCACACGAAGACAGGCTACAACACCAGGCAACTTGGCAAGCGTGTTGACGTCTAGCCATACGCGGCAACTTGCTCCATACCAAATTTATAATGCTCAGCAATCTGTTGGGTGAGCACACGCACATGACACACATCTTCATACAAACCTGTCTCCAATCATGCGGGAATCTTGAAAACTGTGTTCAAGTTCAAGCGTGGGCATAGAACATACTATTCGCACTGCTTAAACTAAGAATATAGATTTTGCTCTGCACTGGCTGGACTTCATGCATTGGCCCGCCCAATTCCAGCCTGCTCCAGCCACGTTCCTTTCCACGACCACCTGCCACTTACACAGCTCACTTTACTGCATCCCCCCAAGTGTATCTCGTGGCGGACATGCCGAAACGTCGAGTGTATCTCGTGGCGGACATGCCGAAACGTCGAGAAAACCCCGGACAACCCCACGCTGTTGACCCAGGCGCGAAAGAGCCCGAACCCTTTTCAGTGCTGACTGTCTAAGGTCTATATAGCCTATGTACCCAACCCGACACTCGAGGACCCAAGTGCGTGTCCCCACCTTGTTGATCAACGCGCCGTTGAGGATACTCAGGGCTTTCTTGGCCTCTGTGCTGAGCTTTGTAGTCTCGCGCTCGGGGTGCGTGGCTCCCTCACTACCGATTTCTGTGTGCTATCAATCACTACAGAAACACTACCGGTTGTCAAATGACCAGCTTGTAAATGTACTGATGGGGTTGTGGCTTCTTTCATGTAGCAGGTATGTACTGATGCATGCTCGATAGCACCCTGAAGCTTGTACCAAAGTCTAGCCAATACATTGGCCCGTTCGTGAAGTTCTGTTGCAACAGTTTTGCCGTGCCTCCGGTTAAGATCCCAGTCGCCGAAAATACTCGTCCGTGCAACCCAAGGACGCTCGGAGAAAGTTGTGAATCCGAAGCTCAGGCATGCCGCACTGGCTCCGTCTAGTGTGTGTGTGTGTGGCTGCGGATGGCCTAAGAGGATATCTAATGAATCTAATATGCGAAACAAATCGAAAAGATAACAAACGATCGGACGTTTTCTTCCGCAGGACGACTGAATGCAAAGAGGCAGCGTGTTCAGCTGATTTCGCGAATGCTCTCGTGCAGTGCGCTCCTCTTGGCTTCACACTCTCGCATCTCACTTCCTCCAACAAGTCGAAGTTGCACGAAGACACATAAGCTTTGTCAGCTTCACACCTGACATTGACAGATTGACGCGGATTCCGTCATTGGCCTGCCAGCCATACAGCGTTTCACGCCGGGTACGAGATGTAGTGCCACTCTTGCACAAACCCAGCCCGTCGTACCATATCGCCAACCCCCCTCTCTCCCGCTTCCTGAAGGGCTTCCAAGTTTCCTTACTACAGTAGTTGAAGCCGGGTACTGGATTGATTTCAACATCCACCTGTGATGATGACTGCTGTGGGCTGGCATGGCATTCCTCGTCAGCCCTAAGCAACATTAAACAGTGCCATATCCCCTTCTCCTGGGCAGATTAGTTTGGCCCGGGTGCTAGAAGTGGATAGGCGCATGTGGGAACTGTTTTAGCCCCTGGGACTCCATCGAAAATCAAGGACATCAGCAGACCGTCGATACATCCCGGAGAAACCCGTCAAGGTTTGTTGTGAAGCTTCGGAAGTTTCAGGTCACTTCGGGTCTGAACCTGGTCCACAACGCTATGTACAGCATCTTCCACTTCGTCCCGCCCAGCCTTGCTCGCATGCCTGCACCAGGATTGGGTATTGCTTGCTGTGCCGACCTACGAAGCTCGCCTAGCGGTCTCTCAAATGAAGGTGGTTTGACATTGAACACAGGGACAAAGTACTTGCGCAGATCCTCGACAAGAGGACTCGCCGAAATGTGTCACGTGTCGTCTGCATGCCTGGTGAAGGCAACTACTGCTGCAAACAGTGCCATTCGGCCTTTTCGAACCGAGAAATTCCGGGAGCAACCTCCCAAACAAGACGACTGGGGACTTCCCACTGTCGCTTTGAGGAGTCAGGAAAAGGTGTGGTGGGCAAAATCCATGCGACCGACAACATACGCAACCTGCTACGATTGCGTGGCAACCCCCACGAAGCAGGAGTAGAAGCGAACGGCATAGATTCCCACAAACAATCAAGGCCAACCCGAATTCGACTCAACCACATGCTGCCTTCTTTCATATCTCTTTCGCTTCTGCCTGCATTGATGCCTATTGCCACAACAACGCCTTCAACCTCTCAATCCCGACGGCACTAACATTCTCAGACCAGGCTGTCATGCTTCAGTGCCCACCTGTCCAGCAGCTCGTGGCGGCGCTCTCAGCAAGGGTTGCCCCAGCCCTCCGACCAGACCGGGAAATTCAAAGTGCTTGGTTGCATCGCCGTTGGCATTTTGGGATATTGGCTTAATTACTTGCGGGGACGCCAGTGTCTCGGAGAGGCCTCAGCGCCTTCCAACACTAACTCGTAAAGCCGCCCACGTCTACTAAGAACCTGTCGTTTCGTCGACTGTTTAGCTCGCGAGGTGCTTCGTGCAAGTTGTCAACCGTGAGAACGGGCTCAAGCATGGACACTAGTGAATCATTAGTGTGGCGTGCTCATTGATGCTCTCCCGAATTCCTGTGCTGGTGGAATGGAGGCTACCATGGATCTAAATCAGCTGAACAGCTGCCTTAGAAACCGCCCTGGAAGAAGGGTAGTCGGCCGACAGCGATTCGACCTGGCAAAGCTGTTGGACACGGACAGGGCAGGAATTCCAGTGCAGGATTCAAGGCTTAAGAGTTTGGGGTATAGGGACCCGATATTATGCCGTCATATAGCTGGCCTTCAAACTGCAGTAAGACGAGGAACGAAGCCTGCCCGACGTAGTCTGTCCAGGTTATAAGGGCACCTGCCCTCCATCTTAATGCAAGGTGCTCGCACAGGGCCAGTCACGGATTTTGAAGCGAATCGTCGACGATTCCCGGCAGCATTGGGCGTGTTCCTGCGACTCACGATCAGCAGGTGCAAACTCATCACTGTTTCAGTTGCAGCGTTCGTGTCAAGCTTTTTGCAGATGGTCGTGCCGCGAAGATTTGGGAATTGGACGGACCAGAGGAGCACGACCCCTACATCATCCATACATTGTACTAAATGGCTGGCACCGCTGAAGCTGAAATCGGAGGTCTCTAACTCAGGCAACTGAGGCATGTACCCAGTTCGCTATGCTTGCAACGACTTGGCCATGTGCGTCTTTCCATACTACCAGGAGCACAGTCATCTCGGTTCGCTATGCTTGGGAAAATACGGTCGCAGCTGGTTGCAGTCTTCTAGCATTTCCGCAGAATTTCGTGCACCACATGTGTACTGGAATACACCAGATGGAGGCCTCTGAGCTCCAGGAGCCTTGGGGAGGCAGTCCCGCTATCCAGGGTCCAGAGAGCACCATCACATCATCACAAAACACCCACGACGAGCACTGTGACCAGGACGACCGCGACGACAACCAAGGGACCAGCAGGAGACCACCAGAAGACCACCAGGAGAACACAAGAGCACCAGGAGACCGAGGCAAAGTGGTCCATGTATTGTAATTTACAATGGATCGGGCTCGAGGGGCACAAGGCAATCCAGGATTCGCTGCAAGTAAATTAGTAATATAGGACGCCAGCGAAAATAACATTCCGCACCACGGCGGGAGAAGCGCGACGGGCGCATCTTGTGAAACTGATAGGACGCGGGGATAAAATGTGCAGCATCTGTTCTGGAGAATAGGCCGCACGGAGCCCGCCGACGCCGAGGCCGCTGTCGGACCGAGCGGAGCCGGATACGTATTAGTGACGTTTCATTACCTATATTATACTGTTTTGGTGGTTCCCTGCCATAGTTATATATATATATATATATATATAAATGAATGAATAAATAAATAAACAACATACCCCAAAACCCTATCCTCATATTCAGGCCCCTATCTTACGTGAAGCTTCATGATTCTTTGCCGTGACCTCGGGAGCCTGACATGCCGTGACTGTTCAGCTGGTCCTCCTCGTCCGCCAACTTTGGCCCCTGTACAGCCGTTCCATCAGCTCGTTTAGGGTTTAGGGTTTAGGAGCTCACATGCCCCCAATAACCCATTGACTCAAAAAGTATGTGCTTTCTGGACAACCTCCACTCAGCTCCCCGGCCAGGTGTCCTGGTAATGAAGTGCCCGACGGACATGGATGCAGAGGGATCCGCTTGGCCATTCAGACTGCTGAAGTTCTTATGACCTGGGAATTCCGGTTTTACGGGCAAGCTTGGAGCCTAGGGCAAGTTCTAAAGTCCTTCACGGAGGCCAAGCCAGGATCGGAGGCTGAGCACTCAAGGTTTGGGCTGGAAGCAGGTTGAAAAGTGCAGGTTGTGCTCGGGTGCCTGGCATGCTGACATAGAAACAAAACGTTGGGGCTTAGACTTTCCTCTGCTCCAGTCAGCGGGTCTGCCATGAGGCCCTGTCTGTTCTGTATGTGGGGCTGGGCCTTTCGCTGTCGAGCTGCAGGACGGACAGAAACTGGCAAGACAGGGTCTTCAAAAACAAACCCCGATAGTCGCAACTGCAGCGAACTCACGTCAACTACCCATCCGAAGCTGCCATGATCAAATAAGTTGTGGTTACACGGCCCATGCCCCAAGGGTCCAAGATTCATTCTCCATCTGCCTACTGCAAAGCCTGACCATACATTGATGCCCCTCCCAAGTTTGCGACGGTGCACCTTCCTCGTTCGCAGCGACCTCAAAGGTCTCGTCCGTGACGAGCGGAGGAAAGAATCGCTCCTTTTAGAAGCCGGGTTCCACATGCCTAAACTTCGACGATGCACAGAGAAGCATCTCTGGACCTTGCATCCTTCCGACAGCAGGCCTGTAGACCTCTGGTAACTCAAAGGTGTTGGACGTCATGAGAAGTTCCTCTGATTGAAGTCTGTAGCATTGGTACATGAGACTACGAGACCCATGCGTGTCCCAGCTCCAAGGACCCCCAAGCAGGCCACGCAAAGCCAGCTTCCAGAACTTCCCATAACTTCCCCGAATTGCAGTCCTGGCACATTTAATGTAAGGAAGCTGTGCATCGAAACTAGACTCTGCAAAGCCCCTCCAAGCGATGGGTCCCGTTTGCAGCCCAAGCCGTATTGCTACAGGACACATGTCATGTGGATTGCTTGTCGCCGAACACTTCGGGCAATCATCTTCCTTGTACTTAGGACCTGCAAGCAGAGCCCATACGGTAACGAAAAGCACTCGGGCGAATCGCAACGGCACCTGCAGGGACACCGGAACGGAAACGGACGCTTGACGTGGTACCGGAAAAAATATGAAACAGTCATCAGGCATTACATGGCCCCAGACCGAAACCAACCCGGCGGCGGGTCTGTTAATTACGACCTGGACTTTGGTTCCTGCAACGTCTCTTGCTTGGATCTGTCGGGCGGCTTCAGATTTTGTTTTTGATGTTCCGCCTGTGAGGCCGTTTACTGAATACCTTGGCCTCCATGGCTCCCTGAGCGACCGGCAGTCCCAGCAACCTCCCCATTCGCTACAACCTGCCAAGCCTTCAAACTTGTCAGACACCTCCGGAGAACAGCAAGTAACAATCGGCCAGGATTCGAGTTGCTGCTTGAGCCTCTGCCGCTTGTCCGGGTCCCGCCATCTGCCACAATGCACTTATCTTCTTTAGCTCTCAGAGCTGGGGGTTATTCGGAAGGCTTTCAAACAGCTGGGAGGCTAGAACTGACAGTGGAGCTAAAGCCAGCCAGGAGTGGCATGACGGGTTCATCGTCCCTCCGACGTCTAAACCGCAAGGATTCGGGCTGGGCTCTGAGCTTTGATCTTCCCGGATGGCAGCATGATCATCCTGCCCTGCCGTTTTTGGAAAAATGTTTCGACCTTCAGCCAAGCAGCTTGTAATGGTTCCGGGTGAGCAACTCGCACAGAAACCTTCCATGCAGCGACTGTTTCTCAAGAGGCTGGTGTAAAAGTTTGTTTTGGACTTAGTACTAATCAACAGACCTCGTCGGCATCGTCACCATCTCCTCCTCCTCCCTCCTGGAAAAAAAACATGCCCTTTCATCTTTGTGTTGATGATCATCGCGGTCACCGGCATGAAGAACATCTGCGTCATCATCGCGATCGTTATGTTGTCACCATATCCACATCAGTACCGTGTCAGGCAACCAGAAAGTCAGTATCGACATCACGAGGCCCAAGTCGTAGCCTGCACAACCTCCATCGTCGTCATGGTCGTCCTGATTCTCGTCGTCGCAGCAGCTACTTCCATGATTGATTCTGCTTCGTCTTCACCGAATCGACTTCCATCATGTGTAATACCCTGGTTTCAGCAGAAAAAACAATGCAACACTGGATATAGAGTATCCTGGCTGATGCGTTTGCGCGACAAACAACGTCGTGCAGAGCGACAGTGTCCGACAGTGTGGCCCATCTTGGAACTCTGAAAGTCCTAGCTTCAGTCAAAGTTGCCTCTTTCTCCGGTGGGGGAGGTAATGGCAACTCTGCAGACACGCGTCATATGCTGCATGCTGAACAGGACATGCTTCAACCATCCCTACCTAACAGTATCATGGCAAGAATATAACTCATAGGCTTGTGCTGCCGCCAGGCCTGTGAAACCGACACTGCCAAGAGACTCGGAAGAAATTCTTGTCTACCATTGACTACCCGAACCTGCCTACCGTACACTGCGGCCAGGTTACCTGCCGAGATCTTCGACGTCATTCTCAGTGAATACCTGAAGAGTGTGGATATAGAGTATCCTGACTGATGTGTTTGCGCGACAAACAACGTCGTGCAGAGCGACAGCGTCCGACAGTGTGGCCCATTCTTGGAACTTTGAAAGTCCTAGCTTCAGTCCGAGATGCCTCTTTCTCCCATGGGGGAGGTGATGGCAACACTGCAGGCGTCTCCTGAGAACAAGACAGGTCAGACTGCTTTGCGATGAAGGTGGAGCCGGTCAGCTCTTTTCCCGGCCTTCAGGTCTTGCCTATGGGGGTGGTGCATGGTTCGCTACACGGATGTATGATCTGTCGATGTCCATGTGTCTGCTTGTGCGACATGCTGCCTTTGAAACAGAAGCAAGATTGGCAAGAAAGCCTACACATGCTCCAATAGGCGTGGGCATGCCCAGACAAGCACAAGTATGACTAGAAGAAATTTACATATTGTTATTATGCCTTTCGTGTACATACATATATACATGCATACAGACATACATACATGGGGGGACACGCGCACAAGTACCCTGCTGGCAGCGCGAACGTCGAGAGTAATCCAGACTGGAAATATCCCACCGGGAGCGGCGACTAGGCCGGGGGAAGTGAAGACAGAACACTGATATTTACATGTGCTGGAGCCGCAGCAAGTTCCCCGGCAAGAGAAGATGCTGGAAGTATCCCCGCAAAGTGCAAACATACAGCAAGTAACACCAACTTCAGCTGATGGTCACAGGAATTCAACATAACAGCAGTTCGCCATTCACAACACTGGAACCATGCCGCAACACAAAGTTCCCCGTCGGGAGCCGAGGTGCGACCTGAATGCGATGTCCTTGCACGGTGGCTTCGCATCGAGACTCGCTCTTTGGGTAGTTTATGACGTGGGTAGTTGGCTTGCAGGCTTCAAGCTTAAGCTTGAAGCTTCACTCTGAACCTTCCGAATCCGTCGAGCAGCTCGCCACCATAGCACGTAGACATACAGCATAAGTTTGCATGAGCACTCGTCCGACATCCACATCTCAAGGAATGTCGTACCGACCACTTCGAACACATGCCACGCTGGTGAGCACACAAGCAACAAACCTGCGTGCTGTAAACACCGAACCCTCAAGACTCAAGCACGCAATCTGAAGAACTCCAGAGAATTTTGCCATGCTAAAACGAGCTCCGGATCACAGAAGTTTAGCACTGACCCGATGTGGACAGACAGGTGGCGGAAGGACTGCCGCAGAGTGCCCAGCACTGCACCGCCGACAAGTGCTGCGCCTGCCCCGCAGAGGTACGGCCGCCGTGGATCCTCTGCAAACCTCGGGTTAAGGGAGGGGGTGCTTGGGGACACGTGGGAAAACGAGACCTAATGCGTTCGCGGCGAATTGCCACTCAGACAGGTATTCTGCTCCATCTGCACTCTACCCCAAGTTTTTTGGCTCGAACACACTGAGGTCAATGCACAGTTCAATCCACTCTGATGCAGATCACATACTAGCTGCTAGCTCGTTCTCTCTCTCTCAGACGGAGACAGGGCATAGGGCGCGAGTTAGCCCCGCACCGACAGGCGCACCACTGTAGAAAGCTCGCCGGTAATAAAACACTCTTCTTGCACAGGGCTTGGGGGATGTGATAGAATCCTCTCCCTCTCTCTCCCTCCATCTCTCTCTGACTCTTACCTGCATGCTCAGCTGAACCATGTACCCCTACCCCAGCATAATGCGTAGCATGACCTCTTTCAGTATTCACTAGTCTTCCAATCGCTGAGTTATTCACGCAAGCGAAACAAGGCACTGGATATCACTGCAGCACTGGCAGCAAGACAGCATGGAAGATTCTGAGTGACACTCAACTCAACAGGCTGAGCGCGGAGCAGTGCACTGAGGATCACTGGGCCGACCACGCGACCCAGAGCCTGAAAGCAGGGGTTCCCACTGGGGCCCAACCCATCCCAATCCCTCGAATGCACGAGTACGTAATCACACTCGCACAAGCCGGCAAGGCTCACCGGGTCTTCACGACAAGGAAACTTAAGCTACTGTAAACAAATCACGGGAGTTCATGACTTGATGACGATACCGAGATCACACCGCAAGCCCGAGCTCCGAGGCCAAGTAGCACAAGTCCACATCCGTCCGATCTAATTTCCGGAATCAGGAAAAACGGCTATGGCGTCGATTTGAGTGGACATAGCATTCATGATGTTGTTAATGACAAGGACGATAAGGAAGTGAACAAGTTTTATGAAGCTGCCACGAGTATGGAACCATCGACGAAGCCTCGCAGGAACCTTATAGGAGCCCATAAAAAAGGACCCTTACCAAGGAGCTTTGAGAACTCCTGTCGCCAGGTTTTCAACTGCGATGACAGACGATAGTAGTCAGAATTTGGGAACGTATCGTTACGTATCGTTGATCACTATCCATTGATTGTTAAGTATGTCTTTGTGGTGGTGTTGTCCCTGTTCGTAGCTGGCAGAACCGACTCGCCTGCGCCATCTGCTGCATGGACATTACCTCGGTTCGACGTGTGGGTGCTGCTGACAGATTCTGGGCTTGTCAGTGTCTCATCAGGTATAGAAGCCAAAACCTGGAATGTTATTTCATCACCTTTACAATTGCCACAACACCAGCGAAACGAACAAATCTGGAACCATGCACGGGACGACATACAGGTGACCTGAAAAAGTGCGAAAATCATGTGTTGTGAGGTTTCACGAGCAGACAGATTATATAATGCACTGATGTCCGCTGCGAGACGTCACGAATATTATGCAATGTCGACATGACCGCCATGGCAGGAAAGCAAGCTAGCGAGTGAGAGAGGGAAGGGATAAGTGCAGGAAACCTTTGCATCTACACCAGCATATGGGTACATGTGTATGTGTGTATGTCTATCTATCCATCTACCTATCTAAACTCTATCTACATACCGATCTATCTAGCAGGCAGTTTGCATAGAGTTATAGGACCTAGCTATACCAAAGGCTCCCTACGCAAGTTTGTACCTGTATACAGGCAAGCACCTACCAATCCATGTATCTATGTGCCTGTCTACCTATCTAACTAACCATCTATCTATCTATCTGTCCTCCTGTCCGTCCGTCTATCTGATAGATAGACGGATAGGCGGACACACACAGACAGACCAACAGACAAACAGGCAGGCAGGCAGGCAGAGAGACAGAGAGACAGACAGGCAAACAGGCAGACAGACAGACAGACAGACAGACAGACAGACAAACAGACAGACAGACAAACAGATAGACAGAGAAGCAGAGAGACAGACAGACATGCATACATGAATACTTACATACAGACCAATATGCATACTTACAACGTTCACGGCCGCTGTTGGGCCAGCCCTTTTCCCCAGACACCACGACCTTGAGCTTTCAACTGGGTCCCCTGCGGCACCACGGGTTTCATCTGTGGCCAGCACTGAAGTAATGGTGGCCTTGAAGACAGCTTGGCTTGGCATCTAGAGATGGTCGCCCGAATTTCAGTATCCTAAGCATGGACACATCAGCCATCACAAACTTAAACCAAACCGTTCACTGCGGCTGAATGAATCTGTGACACTAGCCAGTTGTGGCTGCTTTGCTGGGTGTGACCTCTAATCTGTCCATAGCTCCCGCAGTGAAAGAATTTTCGCGTCCTCACAAAATATGGCATCCCGCAAAATCTCCCGCAGCAAATCCCATCAGTCGTGCCAGTGCAAGAGAAAGGCAATGGTGCACCCTGCCACTGCTTGGCCGATGTAGACGATGCACCTGGTCCCGAGGTGGGGGAAAGGCGTGCAAAATTTCGAAACCTCGAGCGGGATGTCCTGCGACAGTTGCGACTGGCTTGTCATTATCTTGTTGACACACACGCTTCCACAAGAAGAACGCATCACGACCGTTGTCTTCATCCATATGCTGAAATGGCGCAGTCGCTGGGTGCGGGTTTGAACCCTCGCGAGCTCGACCCGCAACTGAAGCCAAGACACATGCCAGTCAAAGAAAACCAAATCCAGCCGGCATAGGCCAGAACCATCTGAGCCGGGGAGGAAATGAAGTGACAGTGAGGTCCAACAAACAGACGAAGTAATCCCTGCGTACTACTACTTTTTACGAGGCATGACTTGCCACTTACCTTACTGGGCTTACCACTTACTGCTGTTCCTGCTACCGCTACTGCTAACTACTACGCTACGCTACCGCTCTTGTTGCTAGCTATTACTGCTTTTTGTTGGGCTTGTATATCTTTGTATTACATGGATAGAAGCCATAACGGCCTTAGCAACAGTAAGATCGCGCATTAAAATGTAACTGCGCGCCTTGGACAGTTACAGAAACAACAGTGCATTCTAGATCACATGAATCGGCACCAGGACCAGCCAGCATCACCATATACTGTCCATTACCATGTCGACCAACTCCGAGACTACCACCGTCTTCACTGAACTACCGCAGCCGCTTATTCGGAATACGTTAACGGTCCTCACGAAAAAAACACGGTGCCTGTCTTGGTGCTCGCCTTCCTTGCCGCTACTATTATATATATATACACACAATATAACATACATAATGTAATAAAAAAATACAAAAATATAATATAAGATATATATATATATATAATATAAAATATATTAACCTAATCCAGTCACTTCCATCACTGCTTTGACACCTTGCCGCCAGGGAGCCTCTCCAGAGGCGATGAGCATCATGCCCAAACAAGCACAGCCCACGTGGCCCAGCCAATGGTCCAGGTGTGGACAAATCCAGATGTTCGTTCCAATGAGACACCTGGCTCAAAAGGACACTGCAACCATGTCGGCGGCTACCTTCGCAGCTGGGAAGACAGCCTCCTACAGAAAAGTCTGTTGCCTTGTGCCGACAAACACAATATAGCAAGGTAACCTCGGACACACTTTCCCGGAAAACTGCTTGGTTCTCACGGTCATCGTTCTGACAGAATTGAATCCGACCCTTCGTGGAAAATGATTGCCCCTTACTACACACGTAGAGCTGCGAAGTCTCGGGCCAAGGGGCAGGGCTCCGCAGCACACAGCAAAGCCGATGGACACGGAGTCAAGGCCAAAGACGGTGGATGCGAAAAGCCTGCGCTTGCCGCAAGCAATTTCGAAGGGCCCAAGCTTGCGAGCAACAGCTTGATTCGCTTGATCGACAAGGGGCGCGAAAATGGCAAAGATCGCCGAAAAGGAGACGCCACGAAGAAATTCCGCAGTGCACACTAACCAAATCTTCAAGGAGAAGGTCCTGAGATGCTCAAGGCAAGAGGGAAGTCGTGTGTGGCCGGGGACTGGGGCGCTGGTGGTCATGGGCACAAGGTATATCCTCCCCAACACAGTGCTCTGGTGGATGCGGCTTGTGTTTTCCGGAGTCTGACTGAAGCATCCTTCAAAGTGTCAGGCGAGGCCATCCAATCTTCACGCACAGCAGCCAAAGCTGACAAACACCCAAGCCCCACTCTCTTCGAAATAGCTTTGCATGACAAGGCTTGATAATTAACCAAACTCGACAGCTAGCCAAGTCGCGGAAGCTTGCAGTTCTTGCTCTTCGCAGCAGCTGATATCCTAGAGCAGGAAAAGGCTGTCTGAGAAGAAAAGCTGCACCCGCCATCTAGCATCGCCATTGGTCCAAACATGCAAACACCTGTTAGAATGGTGACTAATAGTGCTTCGAGCTGTTGGATCCCCGTTAATGGAACTCATCGACAGCTTGAGTGCCTTGCTGCTCGTCTGCCTGTGCTGACTGCGTACTCTACCGGCCATGATGGATTGTCTTACTCTTCTGCAGGGCTTCTTCCCGGCTCAACACATGGAGAGGTCAGGCCTCGATGCCCTTACAAACCCGACCACTCAAGCTTAGGCACGCACGGTTGCTTTCGTGCTAAACAATCGTGCCGTAAGTGTCTCGTGCACCAATGCCGGCTGACCCTACCGCCAGCACGGGATGCTCAGCGCATGGGTATGGAAAACTCATGCAAGACCCGAACGAAGGTCCTTGCAGATCCTGCAGCCAAACGATAAAGCTAAACGTGCTCTTGGTGCTCTGTCTTGGACGAGCTCCAAGCACACAGGGCTTGGTTCTCAAGCTTCCTCGGTCGTGATGTCAGCTGTCTTGGCAGCCTCTACCTTCTCAGGCTGGCGAGCTGGCAAGCGCAGAGGGTGCAGGCAGAGGCAGCTTAGGCGGAGGAAGAGACTCACTGGCTCAAGAACCTGCAGCGAAGCGTACTCGCCGGCGAGCGGACCTTTGAAGCGGTTTGGCCCAGCAGTCTCAACACCAGGCTGCGACAGCAAAGCAAGCGTCCAAAAGATGAATGCAAGCTGAAATAGCTGCAAGAGCACGTAGGCCGCGCTGACGCAGTACCTGAGCGAAGCATCTGGGAACTTACCGTTACCTCAAACCAAAACGAGTGCCAATCCTGGAACGACTTGCCACACCTCTTAATGAAGTACAGCCATGGTACCACGACACTGAACGAATCTTGCCCACATCTGTTGGAGGCACGCAGGCCATGAGGAAGATGACCCAAAAGAAGAAAAAGAACTGGAAGACAACGAAAGGAATCGTATGCGCCATCACTTGGCCGACGCTCTGGTTCAATACAGGACTGAAGAGGCCAACCATCCAGAAGCAGTTCACGCATAAGATCTCGAAGACCACAAACGCAAGCAGGCATCGTTTACTGCTCTGTGCCTGCCACTCCGTCTTGCAGTGCTGATACACCCTGATCACAGCATAGGAGTGAAGCAGGCCAGCAAAGAAAAACATCACAGTGGCGGCCTCCATCCAGCCCGGGAAGTCCATGGCCACGCAAATGGAGTCTTGCCCGAAAATGTGCGAGACCTGGTTCTCGTAGGGGTCGTTGTTTCCTGCAAACCTTGCCACCACTGGAACGATAAGTCCCAGCAGGATGCTGCACCCCATGAGAAACAGGGGCTTCTCCAGCAAAAACTGCGGCACCACTCTGCACACCATGGCTCAAAGAGTCAAAAAGACCACTTCAAAACCCAAGGGAAAAGCTAACAAGCCACAAGCCGCTACGCCGGTGGCCACCACGGGTCGGGTTCAGTCAGGACTGATCGGTCAGTCCACTGGCAGCTCCACCGCACCCCTCCAAAATGTCTCCGGCTCTATCACGGACTCAAGAGACGCTCTCAGGAACAGCAATTGCGGGCGCTGAGTGGAGAGGCCAACTGCTTGTTATCATAGTGGCGGAACCGCAGATTTCACGTTAAAGCCATATTCTAATATTGAGCATGCACGCTCAGGTGACTGAGTCAATGGTGACAGAATCAGTTAACCTTCAACCTCTAATCAGACGAAGCAGCTTTGCGCTGTGCCTTTGGAGGGAGGTCCAGGCCGGACTCTCGGGCAAATACACCTGAGATGCGGGCACGACGGCATCCCACCTGTCTCACTAATCTGCCCTGTGCTGTGCCCGACAGAAGATCACGACAACTACTTCTACCACGGCCGCTTTCCTGCTGTAGCAGTAGCAGTAGTAGTAGCACTAGTCGTCGTAGTGGTCGCAGTAGTAGTAGTAGTAGTAGGAGTAGTAGTAGTAGTAGTAGCAGCAGTAGTCATTGTGGTAGTAATAATCATAGTAGTAGTGGTAATGGTAGTAGAGACGTAGTAGTACTAGTAGTAGTAGTAGTAGTAGTAGTAGTAGTAGTAGCAGTAGCAGTAGTAGTAGTAGTAGTAGTAGTAGTAGCAGTAATAGTCGTTGTAGTAATAGTACTAGTAGAAGCCGTAGTAGCAGTAGTAGTAGTAGCAGTAGTAGTAGTTAGTAGTAGTAGTAGTAGTAGTAGTAGTAGCAGCAATAGCAGTAGTAGTAGTAGTAGTAGTAGTAGTAGTAGTAGCAGTAATAGTCCTTGTAGTAATAGTACTAGTAGAAGCAGT